CCAAATAAAGCACCTTTAGAATTTACTAAACACATTGCGCGAATCTACTCTTTTGCTCTCTACAGCTCCCTAGATAGATAGAACAGATGACCCTCCCTCATAGAACTTGGCATCCGCTGGACACTTGCGATCCATTCCAAAACGATCTCCATGTTGAACCGAGTCAAACGACTTTTTTTTTTTAATCTTTCACCACCCTACCCCCGCCCTCCAGTGAATGAGCTTTTCCAAGTTACTTACTCTCCTCCAAGACATCTGCTTTCTGATAAAACCCAGAAGCTTCCAGGTCTGTGTAGAACATTCACTGTGTGGTCTTAAAAGAGCCATATGCAAATTCCTCTTACAAAATGCACTCCAAATTTGGAAAACTTTCTTAGAGCTATTTGACATAATGATCTATAAAAATGATCCAAGAGATGACAAATTTTAAAGCCTCATACCTCATATACTGAAAATTTTCCAAGAATAAAAGTCATGCAAGGGGAAAAAAATCATTTTTTAAAGATTTGGAAATGACCTTTTAGCATTGGCCTAGTAAAAGCAAAAGCCAGCCTTTGCTGCCACCTAGGGGCAAAAACTACGCGCTGAAAGCTGAAGTTAACAAGGTACACCCCAAAACCAAGGTACAACAAGGATTAGAAACAATCGGACACCAAGAATTTGGAGACCACACTGTCTTCACAAAAACACAGTACCTGTGCTGCTTAAAAATAAACAAACCCCATCAATACGGTGTTCCATGCAAACTGAATTATTAACAGATTTTAAAGACCGAAAACCAAACTCCGTGGCATCAAGTCTATTGGATTCGAACTCAGAGTGTGCATTCCCAAGAATGTAACTCTACCGGCGTAAAAAGCATCATCTTTCTTCCTTGGTGGGACTGGGGGTTTTGAACTGTTGATATTGTGGTTAGCAGCCCAACTGGTAAACCACTACACCACCAGGACTCCCTCCTTTCAACAGATTTTAGGAGCTATTAATCACTTTGGCATGGTTGAAAATTAGGAAACTTTGCCATACTTATCCAATCTGTATGCTGAGAAAATCATCAGAGACACTAGATTTTATGAAGAAGAATGCTGCATCAGGATTGAGGGAAGGCTTATTAACAACCTGAGATATGCAAATGGAACCTTACTTGCTAAAAGTGAGGAGGACTTGAAGCACTTGCTGATGAAGATCAAGGTTTGCAGCCTTCGGTATGGATTATAACTCATGTAAAGAAGACCAAGATCCTTAAAACTGAACCAGTGGATAACATCATGATAGATAAATGGAGAAAAAAACTGAAGTTCTCAAGGCTTAAATCTTCCTTGGATCCACAATCAATGCTTATGGAAGCAGCGGTCAAGACATCAAAAGACACATTACATTACATATATCTGCTCCACAAGACCTCTTTACAGTGTTGCAAAGTAAGGATGGTTTTTTGAGGACTAAGGTAATTCGAGTATTTTCAATCATCTCATATGCATATACAAACGATACCGAATACGGAGGACTGAAGAAGTATCAATGCATATGGATTTGGGTGCTGGCGAAGAATATTTTAAAGTATCTTGGACTTCCCAAAGAACAAACAAATCTGTCTTGAAAAAAGTAGAGCCAGAAGCTTCTTAGTGGTAAGAATGGTGAGACTTCGTTCACGTGTTTCAGACACGTTGTTAGGAGAGACCAAAATCTATTTATTATCAACTTAATAAAGTCTGCCACGGATCTCCACAATCAGCACTGAGGCTGTCCATCTCACCAAACCCTGACTGACAACACTGAGCTTTACGACTACAGTAACAAAAACTGTTGCCTTTTTGAGGGTAAAAAGGTCGAAGCAGCACTTTAGCACTACAGTTGATAGGAACACCACTTATAATAATAATATCGGTCTCATAAGATTGACAAGTCATTTGCTATGTTCAGGATCAAACACAACAGAGATGTCAGTGAGACATGCACTCTGGTAGCACCTGTGTGCACAGAAGACTGAGACAATGAACCAAAAGAAGGCATGTTTCCCATACAGTTTACGGGAAGGATCCTTAATGAAAGGATCCATGTTTCCAGTCAACGGTATGTAGTGATTATCTCGCTGTGTATTTAGGTTGTTCTGTAAAAGTGAAACAAAGTGAAACTTTTGGGGAAAGTTAAAATACTGAAACAAAGGAACTTTACTGCACCTTATCATGACGATAAAAAGTGAAACACAATTTCTTTTTTAAAAAACTCATTTTATCGGGGGCTTGTACAACTCTTATCACAATCCATACATCCATCCATTGTGTCAAGCACATTTGTTGCCAAAACACAATTTCTAAAGAACATAAAACAGTGTAAGATGGGTCCCCATCAAAACCGTTCAGAATTCTGAGATGTATCAATGTACTGTTTAACACTTACATTTATAAGCACACCACAGGAACAGAATGATGCCACAAAAGGGAGTTAAAACATTAAGAAGCAACTCTGAATTACAATGGGAAAGAGCTAGTTAGTTAGCTGAGCACTCTCATTCCACCTCTTTACCAACAAGCACTGGTACCCAAGAATTTCCACCACCCCCCTTAAAAATAAAAATAAGACCATTCATTGGTTTGGAAGTTTATGGTTATTTCATGAGGCATCCAGCTAAGTGACCCAATTACACGTCTAGTGTTTCTGTTCTGTCTCCTAGTTGGCTGCATAATGCCCGGTATTTTACAGGCTCGTAAGTGGCTGTCCAAGGCCGTTTCTATTCTGTCACCTGGAGCAACAGAGGGAAAGGCACCTCAGGAATAGGCGATGGAAATCGAGTATGTGACTCTCCATCTCGGGGAACAACTACTCTCCCTTTGCCAGGAGACCAGAAGAACTAGATGGTAACTGAATATTATAAAAGAATCCTCAGGAAAGGGGGTGAACTGTAGAAGAAAATTTCAAATTCTCATAGAATCCAATCTTTCAAGAGTTACAGAGATGCTGTGACCCTAGAAACCACTGCCCTGAGAAAATCTTTAAACCTTAAAACCAAGATCAACAATATCCCCGGAGATTTTCTTAAAATCAAACAGTAAACTAAACGAATTTTTTTAAAAAGCGTGCCTTGAGAATTAAGGTCTTTTATGAACTACGTAGATGGGATCAAAGGGACAAAAGTAACTGAAAAGATCGGTCAGGAAGCTCAAGGGCAGTTCATGTCAAAGAGGAACAGCTCAAAGGAGGAGGGTGAAAATGCTTGTTCAGTTTGACACAACATGCGGGAATTTGAATTGTGTGTGGGTTTTTTGGCTTGGGTTTTTTTTTTTGAATGGTGCATTTTGCTATGCATATTCTCAACAACAAAATAAAATCAATTCTTTTTTAAAAAAGGAAAATAAGAGCGTATCTCTACGTGACTATGAATTCAACTACCTTATATACTTATGTATAAGCCGAGTTTTCAGCACATTTTTTCCACAGTATTATTGGCATATAATTCACATATCATACAATTCAATAGTTCAAGTATATCTAGAAGAGCTGTACAATCACCACCACAATCAGTTTTAGAACATTTTCTTCATTCCTTTTTTTGTCTTTGTTTTTTCCCAATCATTTTAATGGGGGCTCTTATAGCTCTTATCACAATCTAAACATACATACATACATACATTGTGTGAAGCACATGTGTACATTTGTTGCCATCATCACTCTCAAAACATTTGCTTTCTACTTGAGCCCTTGGTATTAGCTCATTTTCCCCTCCCTTCTCGGCCCCCACAAACCCTTGATAATTTATAAATTATTATTGTTTTGTCATGTCTTACACTGTCCGATGTCTTCCCTTCACCCACTTTTCTGCTGTCCATCCCCCAGGGAGGAGGTCACATGTAGATCCTTGTAATCGGTTCCCCCTTTCCACCCCACCCTCCCTCCACCCTCCCAGTATTGCCACTCTCACCACTGGTCCTGAAGGGATCATATATCTTGGATTCCCTGTTTCCAGTTCCTATCTGTACCAGTGTACATCCTCCGGTCCAGTCGGATTTGTAAGGTAGAACTGGGATCATGATGGGGGAAAAGGGGATGCAATAAAGAACTAGAGGAAAGTTGTATGTTTCATCATCAGCACATTTTCATGCAATTTTTGTGGTAAATTTAGATGCCTCGGCTGATATTCGGGCCGACTTACACTCGAGTATATATGGTCTGTCTTCCCTCTTTCCCACTTAACCAACCTAACCTCCGAGTCTAAACCATTCAAGCTCCCCAAGATTCCTCTCTTATTCACTTAGGAATCAGGGAAGAAACATTACCACAACCATTCTGCCTCCAGGACATGTCTCCCCGACAACCTATAGTCCCCTCCCGCCCTAGCTCCAAGCCCCACATGTACTGCCTTTACAGCAAGTGCAACTTCCACTATCTGGCTACAGTCTCTATTCCCATTCTTCCTCTAAAATATGATTTATTTGGAAGAAACTCAGTTTCTCAGCCATGTCTGCAATGTACCTACCTCAGGATTATTGCCAAAGCTTTCTCATTCTTTCTACCAAAAGTATTCCCTCACCCAGGAATGTCCTACCTCATTCCTGCTGTTTACAACCCTAGAAGTCTTTGGAGACCCAAATGAAGTGCTACTTTCTTCTCCAAAGTTCTTTTAGGCCCCTCAATTGGAATTAACTTCAGTTTGGCAATGTCGTGGCAATTTGAGCTTAATTTGGCACAGCGCTTTGTTTTATCTCCAGCTATACCTGCTAGCCAAAAGGAAAGAAGCACACATGATACTTATTCATCGCTGTGTCTCTCACTGTCTACTACCAAGGATCTTACATGCAGCACGTGATCCACATGTTTGCAGAAATGCTTTGCTGAATTTTCTTTTCTTCAGTCAATTATGGTTAATAACCTTTCATTTTATGTGTCCAAGGACCTAGTGCTTTCAAAGAAACCAAATCCTCCAAGCTGACTCCACATTCTGAATTATGTGTGCTTCTCCACCAACTCTACCATTAACTATCTTTTGTCTTTCTGTTTCATTCAAGATAAAGGAGGCCTGCAAGCAGAGAATCCCAGCACGCATCCCTAAATCAAAATCTACAAACATCACTCAACTTTCTACCGTGACTCCCGCAGGACCTCTGGATGAGCCTGTTCACCAGGCTGGCTTGGGGAAGCTACACATCATAAAGACTGTTACCTCCAAACACTGTCCTCCACACGAGAAGGCAAAAGGTAAGCCATGCCAATGCACCATCTGGATACAATCGCCAACAGCAGAGCCTGGAGTGAGGGAATGACCAGTATGAAAGGCCCAACGAGGAAGGGCCAGGCCTCCCAGTGAAGCAGCAAACTGGCAGTTGGTTCATTCACAGCTGGATGGGCCTGGTGAAGATCATCCAGAAAGGGCAGCCCATCTACAATTATGACGTCTATGTTTGTGTAGACACATACACACACACACACACACACACACGCTCATATACACATTTACAAGCACATCTCCTCCCCCCTCACCAAATCCACCCAATCTGTCTTAGATATGACTGAATTCACTAGAACAGTCTGTGAGTTGTCTAGTGAACATAGAAAGGGGAGAGGGGGGAAGTGGCAATTCTTAGCTCCGACGAAAGAAACAACAAAATGCGTAACTGCTGTACATATCTTTTCACCGTCTACTTGAGCATCACTGGGGCAGTGATCATAGTGACCCGTGGCACAACGTTCTGTCCCAATGTTCCAGTAGGCTAAGCTCCTATTTTCACCAGGCTGTGGAATCAGCCTGCTAGATTTTTAGGGCAAACCCATTTCAGATGGCCAAGGCTACTTTCTATAACCATCACGGTAGTTGAGACAAAGGCTGCCAATATTAATATCTTTCACAGAATATGAATCATTGTTCTGCAAAATTAAAAACATACATACACACATACACGAAAGGGGGAAAAAGTATCATACTAAGGAATGTTGAATCCAACTAGCTATCTATAAGGCTGGAAATAATCCCATCAGTAAGTTAGAATAATTTTTCTCTTTATTACCCTGAAAACTCTTTTTCATTGAATCAAGAGAGAGATGTAATTTAGTGTGGCCAGAGAAACACGAGGATGCTCTAAGTCAAATAGGCACTGATGACACAAGAGTTTTACACTTCACACAGCCTGGACCAGAGATAAACGGCTGTGAGATGAAGAGCAGGACTGAATGTCCTGTGGGCTCCTGCACCGAGAACTCGAGACAGGACAATGGAAGGAATCTGAGAGGATCAAGGCCGTGTTCCTGCATCTCTGTCCCGGGATGGAGCCAGCAGATGAGGAGCACTCTACTAGCCAAGCCCGGGTCAATGCACTAAACAGATACTCAACCCTATTGAGGAGCTCAGTGGTGCTGTGGGCTAGCCTTCGGACTGCAAACCAGATACCCGCCCCAATTTAAAGGAGGAGGAGGAGCTGAAGGCTGGGGCAGAGCCAAAGCGTGCGGTACTGTGTCACAGCCTGAGCAGGCAAGTGGCAAAGGGGAAGGCAGCTATAAGAGTAAGTTAAAAGCCAGATGTGGAAAAGTTAAGTTAAAGGAGAGCAAGAAGAAGGGAATGAACTGCAAAAGAAGGGAATGAAGTGCAAATGAATGTGATAAAAGCACAAAAACAATTCAAGAGTGAGGCAATCTGGAGGGAAGTGGGACGGGCACAGGTGCAAAAGCACATGTGTGGAGTGCTAGCACTGTGCCTGACATAGAGCTAGTGTTCAGTACATTCTCAGAGAAGGGAGGATGCGAGAGCGAGGAAGAATTGGGCCCTTTGGTCCCAACCATGCCCCTCCCAAATTAGGATTGACCTTGAAGAGGAGCACAAACATGTTATATACATATGAGATTTCAAAACTTGAAATTAAGGAGACCGCAGAGTATGTTTTCAAGTTAGAATATGCTGAAGAGCAGGAAAGAAAGACAAAGCACTATAAAAAGTGTTGATTCTGACTCACAGCCACCCATGAACCACTCACAGGATTTTCAAGATGTGTATACCTTTTTTGGAGCAGTGGTCTTATAGAGGATACATGATGGGCTGCTAACCACAAGGTCAGCCGATTGAAACCACTAGTCGCTCCTCAGGGAGGAATGAGGCTTTCTGCTCTAGTGACGAGGTACAGTCTCAGAGACCCACAAGGGCAATTCCTGGAGGGTCACCGTGAATAAGAGTTGTGGAAGTTACATAATCTGGTGTCAACTTACGAGGGGTGCATTTGTAGTCATTGCATGTTTTACAAGAGTTGAAGAGGAATCTATATAGATTGGTATCAGATATATGGGCTAATATCGGACTTATGGACTTCATCTGGACTGGGCTAGTATGTTTTCTTAACATACAATTACTCTTTATATACAGCATTCTTATCCACCTATGAGCATATATGAATTTGCTTCTCTAGTCAACCCGGACTGACACAGAACGCAACACAATGGCAGTGAGGTTGGGTTTTCTTTTGGTGTGGTCTTTAGATGTCCAGCCTGTCTCCATGGCCTCCTCATAGGATGGTTCAGATAGCCAATCTTCTGGCAACTCTTCAAGTGCTGAACCTTTTACCCCCCACCCAGGAAATCTTAACAGGTGCTTGGGGATAGGGGGGGGATGATCACTGCACCCAATCTCCCAAAATAAAGCAGTATGATAACTATACTTCTAATGTAAATAGAAGAAACATAGTTTTAAATGGTAATATAGTTTGAATTCCATTAAGATGAAATTCTATAAAATAACAAAGGTCTATTTTAAAAGGATTGTAAACTCAAACTATGCTTAGTAAAGCAATGTGTGACTACAACTAACAACCAGAAATACTACTTTTATAAGTTCAACAAAATGGGGTTTGCCCTGCACCACAAGCGAAAGTGTAAATCCCTGCTTCCTGAGAGTAGCCCTGTTTCTGTAGAAATGTAGCTTCTCTGAAGACCTATGAAAATAAAAGATGCTGTGCTAATAACTCTAGAAGGGATTCACTAAAAAGAAAAATTAAGCTGATAAAAATCCAAATAAATGAAAATAAAATGTATAGCTTGATTATTCTATGCTGTCCCTTTTCCCAACCCTACACTAATTTAGCTTCACTAGACACATCAGGAACTGATTTCTCTGTAACCTTTTGAAATAAAAGTACTTGACTTAAATAGGAAAACAAATCAGCTAATGTATGAATGATAATTATGCTTTGGTGACAGAGTCACTGATGGAATGACTCTCAGTTGTGTTTCCAATTTTGGCAGGGGCTGCAAAGGTCCTGCAGGTCAAATCCCTCCCTTTATCTTCTAGGGAAGTATGTGAGTTGGTTTTCACGTCTTTAAATAACTGAGGGGGGTATTTTAAAGAATTAATCTTTGGTGATATGTGACAACTGATTTAAATTCAATTTTCATTGTTCACCAATAAAGTTTTATTGGCACAGAACCACACGCAATCGCTACATATCACCTGTGGCTGCTTTCATGCTATAATTACAGGACGGAGTAGTTGTTAAAGACACAGCCTGACCTGCAAAACCTAAAATGTTTGCTGTCAGACCTTCATAAAGAAAGCTGCCTGAATCCTGGCCTACTGTGAACCACACTAACAAAAAATTCAGTAAGCTCTTCAGGAAGACTCGATCAGTGACTTTTTGTAAGTAATACTAGCAATTTAAAAATCCTATGAAAGCAAAGAAATTTTATTTCAAGTTTATGTGATATATTTGATAAGATGTGTAAATCTGTGAATGGATTTGTGTTCAACTAAAGAACATCAGATAAGCACAATTCAAAGTCTCTACAAACAACACAAGGGGGAGCTTTGGAATCTGAGGAGGAGCGGAAATATCTCCAGGCCATGAAAACTTCTGAATGCTATTATTCAAGATTCACAGACATTTGGTTTTCAAAGTTGTATCAGGACATACTTACATAGGATTTGGGGAAAGATGTGCAAATTGGTACTTTTATACTTTCTTACCTGTTGTCAAGAAATACTCAGTCACTTGCAAGACTCCTGGGAATTGTATAGAATAAACTAGGCTCATAGAGGTTTGGCTTTGGGCCATTTGTTACCATGTTAAAGTCTAGACTCATGACTGATAAATGTAGTTGTCTCTGTTTCCTTTCCCCCCATAAAAGCCATCCTGCTGCTGTTTGTGCCCTTGAACATGTTTTAAGAATAGTATTTGCCATTTGATTGAACATCTTTGTTTGTGCCCATGCTTAATGGATAAATCTTACCAAGTAAGCTGATTATGTTGGGTTTTCCTCTCCTCAGATTCCTTTACGCTGTATAAAATAAAGTCAAGCTTGAGAACTCAATAAATAATTTTGAAAACTGCATGCCCTGAAGCTGACCTTCTGTTATGTGTTATCAGCATCCACTGTATTTAGTCTACATTTTATATACAGAGAATGCAACACAGTATTTGTTCTGCATGGCTGCCTATACATAGAAAGATTATATATGTCTAACTTTGGACTGAGAAAAGGAAAAAAATTATGAATTAAAGTTATTCAGGCTTAAAGGAAAGATACAAGGTGTTCCTCCACTTAATTATTTCCAGGAATACAGGCTATGGAAGCTGATGCAATGGGAAGAAAGCAATACAAAACTACATTACAAAAAAATAAAATATAAACTTAGACTGCCATCGAGTCAAAGCTGACTCATAGCGAGCCCTATTGGACAGAACTGCCTCTGTGAGTTTTCAAGACTATAACTCCTCAAGAAAGGTGCCCTGGTGCCATAGTGGTTAACGCATCGGGGCAGCTAATCTCAAGGTCGGCAGCTTGAAACACCCAACCACTCTGCTGGGTCTTTCTACTCCTGTAAAGAGTGACAGTCTCAGAAACTCACGGGGCAGTTCGACCCTGTCCGGTAGGGTCACTATGAGTGGGCATCGACTCAATGACAGTGAGAGAGAGAAAAAGAACTCTTTATGGGAGTAGAAAGGCCCATCTTTCTCTGTTATATTACAACAGCAACAACCAAATATCTACAATGCTCATTTTAGCAGTATCAAAGAATTCATTTACAAGGCAAGTTTGTTTGCTGTTCTTTTCAAAACACAATTTATCAAACAAAACCCAAATATGGTTACAATAAGACGGAAATAGAGGTTGCTGTACAACAAAGACTTCAAATGCATTTCTAGAAAGAGAAAAGCAACATGCAAAGCCTGGGCAGGCTTCCACCAATTCTCCCAACACATTAAGATTCTTCAGGTGGGGAATTTCTAGGATGAGGTTTCTTAGGTCTGGCTGTGAATTACTAACAATTATTTAATGAATTAATAGCTAATAAGTATCTTTTAAAGGAGCCTTGGTAGCATAGTGGTTAAGCAGTAGGCTGTGATCCTCATGGTTGGCAGTTCAAAACCACCAGCAGCTCCACGGAGAAAGACTGGGCTTTCTACTCCCACAGTCACAGTCTTGGAAACTCACAGGGGCATCACTACGAATCAGCATTGACTCACAGGACGGCAGTGAGTTTGGTCTGGAAGTACCTTCTATGTACTGGGACACTACTGCAGGCCCTGGGGAAACAATAAAGAATAAGACAAACTCTAAGCCTGCATGGAACTTGTGGCCTAGTTGGGAGAGATTACAATAACTTAACAAGAACAAATATAACTGGCGACTAAGTGCTCTGTAGATAATTAAAAGAAAGTGATGAAATAATGGTGTAAGTGCACAGCTAGTCTAAACAGGCTTACCAGGCAGTACCTCACATATCAGACGTGATGTATGAACTGAGGTCTTCCTATTAAAAAAGAGCTGCTATCGCTGTCCATCAGGCACTGAGTTAATTCCCACAGTGGAGACTTGCCCCCTGTGGATTTCTGAGGCTGTAACTCTTGATTGGAGTACAAAGCCTCCACTTTCTCCTGCAGAACAGAGCAGCTGGTGGTTGAACTGCTAGCATTAAGTAATGGCTCCTTCCACAAAGAGTTTCAGTCTTGAAAACTCAGAGGCAGTTCTACCCAGTCTGATAGGGTTGCTATGAGTTAGTAGCCCAATGCATAACCATACCTGTCACTGAAGATGCAAAAGTTCAGCACAGATAGGAAAAGGAACAGCAATGAGCTTGAACAAAATGAAGGCTGTGCGGCTTGAACAAAGATCACTAGTAAGGAGCAGGCAGAAGATCTAGTAAAGCCCAACCACAGTAAGTACTCTAATAGTACTCTGTGGCCACTGGGCTCTAGGCCTGATATCTCCTTTACCAGGATTCAGCTGGTTGCTGAATAAGGTATAATCCACAGAGCTACAAGATGGAAAACAGGAGCCCCGCTCAGAGTTTACTTACAGTGGTAAGGCAAAAAAGAATGATAACATACACACTGGTGGTGATAATAATAAAGAAAACCAGAAAAAGGGACTCAGGATAAATTAAAGAGGAAGTGTCAACAGGACTTGAGAGATCAAATGTGCTGAGCAAAGGAAATTAATGGATGAACAAATCAGGACCTTTGTAAGTAAAATTGAGTAGTCCGTGGTTAAATGTATGGAGATAAGGAAGTCAGGGGAAAAGGCAGGTTTGGTGGATGAATGTAATAGTTGAATTTTGGCACATGACATTTGACATTCCTATGACATAACTCTGTAAAGAAATTAAGAAGGCATCCAGGATGGGAGTCTCACACTCCAGAATCATGTAGGTTAGTGGCAGAAGTGCTTCTCAATGCCCAATGGCAAAAGCTGCTTCTTTGAACCTGAAGGACCAATGTTCTTTGAATGAGAATAGTGGGAGACTAAGGGCTTTAACAGATACAAGTTGATAACAATGGTGTACAGTATATGGATAAAAGAATTATTCTAGAGATACCTTTACCACTAATAATCCAAAAAGTTATTTACTAGAAATATAAGTGCACAAACTCTGGTTTGAAAATGCCTGCATATGAATCCAAGCTTCCCCAGTTACCAAGTGAATTCCATTGGACAAACCACCTGACATTTCAACAGGACTTGACAGAATCAACATCCTCATCTATAAAATGGGGCTAACAGTAATTAGGAAATGATGTTTTTGAGATTAAATGAGCTACATTCCTGGGGGCATAGTGGTTACATGTTGGGCTGCAATCCGCAAGGACGGCAGTTCAAAATCACCAGCCACTCCTGGACAGAAAAATGAGGCTTTCTACTCCCATTACAGTCTCGGTACTCGAGCAGTTCTTCCCTATCCTATGTCAGTCGGAATCAACTCTATGGCGGTGAGTTGTTTGGTTTTTTCTTTTAGTTCATGTAAAGCAATCAAAAGTATCTGACACATAGTAAGAATACTAGCTGGCATTATTGTCTGTAGCCCTCCTGTCCCCATCATTGCACACAGAAATATCTGCACACTTCAGGTCTCTAGTTACGACATTTGACAGGAGATGACATCAAAGAATCAGAATGAATTGACTATGGAAGCACATAAAAGCCCTCTTCAAAACAAGTGGGGCGTTAAGAGCATCACAAATTGCTAAGAAGTTCTGCTTTGCAAGTAAACCATGTATGTGTCAGTCATTGCCAAATCTGTATCTGCAGGCTCCTCCTGAGCCCTGGGACTCAAGTCACATCCCAACAGCCCCTAGAAACGCTACTTGGTAATGGAGTGTAAGGGAAAGCAAATGGTAACCTCCTTCATGAATGAATGATCTAAGACCCCCTCCTTTTGGCTCCAATCCACATTTTGAATGCTATTCTCCCATGTTTCCAAAATATTACTTAACACTCAGCTCCTTACATGGCAAAAGGAAAGTAACACTGTTTAAGGAAGCTATGAATTTGTGGAAACATCTGGCACATACTATGCACTGATTTTCTTCCTCGGATTTGAGTCACAGGGGCAGAGACAAGACTCAAAATTTTAAAAAACAAACTCACTGCCACAGAGTCTATTCCAACTCATACTGACCCTATAGGGCAGAACTGCCCTGGTGGCTTTCTGAGACTGTAACTCTCTACAGAAATAGAAACTAGCCTCATCTTTCTCCCATGGAGCAGCTGGTGGTTTCAAACTGTTGACCTGGAGATTAGAAAACCAAGACTAGAATTCAAGAATTAAGATCCCTAATTCAATGCTATTTCCACTACTACTAAAGAGTAATTCAACTATTTCCTTAAGAGCTTCTGTCCATAAACTATAGCACAGCACCAGAGTTGGGGAGTGTAAAAATAACTATGGACCACTATCAGTGCTGGAGGTGACAGGGGGTGGGGGGGTTGTGGCTACAGATAGATAGATATTTGCTAAGAGCAATACTTTAAAGTGTATAAGTTTTCTCAAGCATGGATTATATTGGCTACATCTTATAAAATGACACCTGCTCAGTTTGTACCTGAAGTCAGCCATTTTGGAAGCAATCCAATTGAAATAGAATTTTGGTGTTTTTAATGGATGTTTTACAATTCATTTCAATTAAAGTTTGCAGCAAATATGCCTCAAGTGTCTATTATGTGCAGGGCTTGTAAACACTGAAAACATGAGTTAGACTTTGGCTTTATTGTACAACTTGGCAGAGAAGAGAGGCAAATCATATAGAGTGATACCAGCATCATTGCATATTCAGCCTGATGGGTCATAAGGAGTTCAATGACAGACTTGTGTGGGAAGTTAATTCATGCTACTCCAATCCTTGATACAAGGCTCACTGCATTGAGAGTGGGTACACATAGTAAATCATGTGTGGACTGTGTTGTTACCTGGAGTCCAGTGTTTTTGACAGTAACTTGTTATGTGAATGGGCCAACTGCTTGACATCTTTGGGTCTCATATTCCTCACATGTAGAATAAGCGAATACTCTTACCCCCTTTCTGGCACTATTTCAAATTATGAGCATGAAAAACATTAGCTAATATTTACTGTCCACATATTATGTGCTAAATAATATGCTATGCTGAAGTGTATCACAGATCACTTTCCGTTTACCTTCCCACCCACCTTAGGAAATAGGCAGATATCAAAAAGTACGAATGCGATGGCACTGTATCAGTGTTGCAGCAGCGATTTGAACTTAAGTATTGAAGGCCTCATGGCGTAGTGGTTACCTGTTGGGCTGCCGAACGCCAAGTTTGAAGAAACCGTCAGCGGCATCGCGGGAAAAAGATGGGGCTTTCTACTCCAATAAAGTTACAGTCTCTGAAACCCATAGGGGCAGTTCGACCCCTCCCCAGAGGTTCACTCGAAGTCGGAATCGACTCCATGGCAGTGAGTTCAGACACTAGTACACTGTATTCTGACCCTTCACGAAAACTCGTCGTCAAGCTCAAGAACGAAAAGTTTGGGGAAAGATGCTTCCTGCCGGGCAACCCGGAGGATCCGCGCGAAGATGTGACTTGTCAGTTTCACGTGCGGCGCAGGCGACAAGGACCGCGGGGCGG